CTGCGTGTTACTTAAAGGGATAGGCTTGAATATTAATATGGTTGATGTGTCCTATCTTCAATCTAGTCTATAAAAATTGGAATTAGATGTAAAGCATAAATCATCTCTGATTCTGTTATTTCATAAGAAGTCCTGGACATTTTTGGGTTTAGAATTTTTTTTAAGCATGTGTGTTCTTCTTTTTACCTTCAACATTAGCAGTGTTGTGATTTAAATTATCCTTCTCATATTAATAATGAAATTAGAGGACCTTATCTGGATGTTGATTGCAGTTTTGCTGATTTTTGTTCAAGACCAGGTAGTGTGCAGACATAGCCTCTTTTCCCTGTCAACAAGCAGAGGAAAAAATATATAATTCTCACATATGATGAAAGACTGGAAGGAAAAGACAGAGAGGAAGAAAGCAAAAAGTGAAATGGTAGGTAGGGTAAAGAGAGGAGTGTAATGCAGCTGAATTTCTGTGCATTTATGCAGCACAGGCCAGGACTTAACACAGCAACGTGACAAAAATGATAATTATGACCATTTCACTGCTGTGGAACTGAAAGGAAAGGCTGCTCAGCTCTTGATATATAGCAATGTCTTGATTTCAGTTATGTTATTGAAGTTGAATTTAATGTCATAATTACAAATGTATTAAAAAGAAAGAAAAAATGAAAAGTTTATACAAGCTCTTTCAGACCTATCTCACCATCGACATCTCACTTGACAGTTCAAAGCAGTTAGAACATATCATGCAATTTTTAAATTATTTTATACTTCATTATTAGTAATGGTTTTCTTGGTCTAATTTACATCAATTAATGATACAATATGCACAAAATTTGTCTAGTGACCTTATTTTAAAATACTGTTTTAGATATGTTTCCCCCCCTCCAATTCATAATATTGTTTACAGATTCTGAGAGTATTTTTCTATCCAATTTTATTTTTTTCTCCATCTAGTCATTGTATTCAATGTAAGAACTTTCTAATGTCTTTGTGTCTAGGGACTTGGCACATGAGGGCATGATGAGAGAGTTCAGTGCATCATCTTCTTTCTTTATTGTTTTTCTTGTGACAAATCTTTAACAGACTCTAGAGAAAATCAGAAAAAAACAATAGACATCTTCTCCCCTAGGATTTTTTTTTTTGAAGGTAGATAAAATATTGACTTCCTGATATATGTTAAATAGGAAAAAAAACATTTTTACACTCTTAGAAATGCATGTTTTCTATGTGTGCTACATTAGACTGGAGTAGGATTGTAGCAATAGTCTGTATTTAGTATTCCTCAATGTCTTACACCATATTAATGTATCATATTGAGTTCGGAACAATACAGCTTTCCTTATTTCCATTTCCAATGTGCTTCCATTTAGGAAATGAGTTAAAAATAAATATGACAGTTACAGATAAGATAAAACTCTGTCTTTGGGCACTTTTGGAAGAGTATGACAATAAAGCAGTCTGTTATTTGAGAGAAATTCTTCCTCCCCTGTTAATGGATAACTACTTGAGTCCTCTCTTGAAAGGTGTTTATGATGGTCTGGGAAGAAAAAGAAAGGCCCAATGCAATACATGGCTTTTGTGATGTCTTGTGGCATTCAACTCTTTGAACTAAATCTGTATAGCAAAAGCAAGTGTTTCTTTACAAGAGGCTGAAAATGCATTACTAGATTCAAAAATTACTTTTTGTTTGTTTTGGAGAATAATTAGTCACTCATTTTTACTCAATACTATGTGCATATTTATTTACTTATTTCTGCTGATGGACACATCACATTAAGAGACTCCTGACCAACTCTGTGGTCTCAAGCAGTCAGATGGAAAGATATCATGTATTGTTTCCCTTTTTTCATCAGTCAGAGCAAGTCAGTTTTCTAATTACAGGGTGAAAAGTTATAAATAGACTATAAGACAAGGAATGAGAATAAGTAAGTGAAAACCGGTTAATGTGCCTTTCTACATCAACAATAGGAACTGCATTTGAAATGCTCTGTGCAATATTGTATCATCAATACAAAAATGTTGGAGAAAATACAGAAAAGCCTGAGTACTGAAAACATTTTTAAATGGCAAAAGCACAAAAGGCTGAAGTTTCTTATCAAATTGATCAATGTGGTAATTATGGTTAGCATTTTTTATTAATAACAAAACATTCAGTAAAACAGGAAGGTGAGGTAGTAAATTTCAAATGTTTGAAAGAGTCCTTGAGAAGGTTTCTGTGACATAGCACTGAAAAAAAAATCAAGTTAATCAAATGTGGTATAGTAGGAAATAGTTAACAGGTCTTTTAAATCTAATTTACTTTGAAATTCAGACTATTTGTCAAATTCTTTACCAAATTGTCTTCAGAAAAAAGTGAAGTCAGTGTACTTAAATGGCTTTGTCTACAAGGGCAGGCTGAGAAGACTGGAACTTTGAAGAACAGAGGGTGTGTGTGTGTGGAAAGTACTCTGGTAGAGGTGAATACAAAGATGATTGCTGCATTGAGGACAGGTGTGGTCCCATGGGCTGGTAGGCTTAGACAGGGAGAGAAAAAACCCCTAACTCACAGCATTTCTCTTTTTCCACTGTTCCACAGAATTTAAACTGTGGAATGCACCTCCTCTATTTTTGGATGGTCTAAAGTACAACCTGATTTAGAAAGGGACTAGAAAATCAAGAGAGAACTGGCTAATGAATAGCTATTGAAGACAGTTGTGTGGACACAACCTGACTTGTGAGATACTACCCTCGTTAATTACTGACAGATATTTTGCACATTCCTTGATGGTAGCAGCTATGAAGATGGACTGCGTACTAGACGGGCTAATATTCTGATCTGCATTGCATTTTTCTAGATTTACAATTTGCATATGAATATATATGCAAAAATCAACACTTTAATCTTTTCCCGGAGCCTAAGAAAAATCCAAAAATGACTCGCTGCAGTGTATCCCTGTAAAACCCTCTGCATGAAGTATGGTTTGCTCTGTGATTCATTGCTTGTGTTTTATGTGATAAAGGTGATAGAGTTATGCTAAATTGGGTGGCCCCATTGAGGTTAACAGCTCTTCTTGCTCTGGAAAATACTATAGGATGTGATGAGGAGGAATGTTTTTAAAAGTTAGCCTTTTCTGTATAAGGGGTATTTATTTTAAAGCTTCTGGTGGTGATTACACCTCAGTTATGTTCTGCCTGGCTCCTGTTGATTGCATTACAGAATGACAATTGAACCCCTGGGTGCTTTATAATGTATATACTATTGGTGCATGACATGTGGTGGAAAGCAATATCCTTCTGCATCCCAGTTTTGGACTGAGGAAATAAATGCACTGTGCAGTTTTGAGTAATTACTTGTAGTCTGTTCATGAATCTGTGTCTCTGCCATTTATTTGAGCATGAGCAAGTCTCTGGTTGCCTCCAAGACGTTGGCTTTTCTTTTAAAATTCTTTGGCAGAGGAATTCTTTCTCTCTTTCATCAGAATTAGTTGCTTGTCAACCTATTCAACTTGTCATTTCCTGAGAATATAGTTGGGGAGCAGTCAGATAAGGAGCCTGCTATTGGGGGTTACCTGCACAGTTTGCTACAAATAAAAGGAAGGGTCACTTTATGTTCATCATGTTATATTTTTAACTAAAAGGTTTTTTGCCTTATTTGATTAAAATATTTTAAAAATTATTTGCTTAAGTGTAAAACATAAAAATGTTACTCAGTCAATTCATATATAGATGTAAGTACAACAGCCTTTGAAAAAGTATTTATTTTAAAGCATAGGTATTATCTAGTTTAGAAACAGTAAATAAAAGCTGATTTCTAACATATGGATCTGTCTTTTCAGAAAATACACCCAATTCTGAAATGCTGGTGAATTAATATTTCTGAAGAAGCTAAAAGCTTAAGGAGTCACCTACTTAATATCAATACTGTCTGCTGCATATTACTTCAGAGCTAAAGATATGGTTTTGTGCAATTTTATCTGCACAACATTTAGGCTTATATTAAAATTTTCAGCATAATCTTACATTTCATTAACTTCTGGACTGAAAGTGTAACCTATGTCCACTTACATTCCTCAATGGTGGTGGACCCCAGGACACTTGAATGTGCTGTTGTGTGCTTAGGCATAATCAGGAAGTATCTGGAGTGCACAATGTTTCTGCCAAAGTCAGATATATTACTGGTTTAATAGATCTTAAATTCAACCTGTTTTTCGGCATAAGAGTGTGTTTTTGCAGTGGTGGCCTACTTTTATTTGCAGAGTGTTATAATTGTGTAAGGACTCTCTTGTATTCCTTTCCTTTTGAATAGAAAAAACAAAGATAAAAAAATAACCTGAAACCCAAAAGAGACTGAAGGTCTTGCATAACTCTTAGTGGAAGAGCTGTGCTATGTTCTGAGATTAAAAAGGAAAATTGAAACAAAAGAATGGCCGGTTAATAGAATGTAGGATGTTTAGGTTAAATAAAGTCATTTCATCCATGATGAAGAAGGGTGCCTACTGTCAAGAAAGCACAGTGTGAAGAAGGCATAATAACTAATAACTTATTTGTACCTGGGTTATTAGGATAAATCTGCAGATAAGGATATGTGTATAATGGAAGCTTCAAAAGCTGCAAATCTGATGTGATAAATGATTCAAAGTGCAACACATTAGATTAGATTTTAATGTTTGTAAAATGAATGAAACAATACATCTATATGCCAAAACCATATTATCATAAACATATTTGCCAAACTATAAGACATAAATTGCACTTAAATTTAGTAATCTATGATGGTATGCTTGAATGTATCTTTGTGATTAAATGTGAACAATTGCTCCTTTAAGGTAAAGGTCTGTGTATGTGTGATTAATCAGATTGAAATGACAGGGCGGACAGCTTATGCCATGCCTGGTTATCAGAGTGATTGATTTTAGTCAATGCTGCTGGATGAAAAAAAAAAATCTGTTAATAACTACAGCTGCAAAACTCCTGATGTCACTGATAGCACAAATCACTTCTCACACTCCTATTATCTGGCTCATTTGCAGATACGGAGCACACAAACCGATCCATTGGAACGCAAAATTATAACGTACAGATTTATGCAAGAGGGATGACTGCAAAGTGCGTCGCATGAGCAGTGTAAGAAGCTGGAAATTGCTGCTGTTGTAGCTGTCATAGGCACGTTATTTTCTTTAGTATGTGTGGAGATTTTGCTGTCAGGCTTTTATCCTCCAGATTGTTTGTGCTGTACCTCTCTTCCTGCTTAAAATAGAAAATCAGTCACTGAACCTGGATGCTATTAAGTGTTCTTAGAATAGTTCTTAACTAAGTTGGCTGATTTGCACTTTCTGATGAAATAACGTTTGGTTGTTTATTGCAGGCTCTGAATAAACATGTTTTTCCAGAATCAACTAATAAGATTACTAATTGCATTTCATCAACAGAATTGTTTATCATAGGTATACTCCTTCCATCTAATACTTATCTTTTTAGTTGTGATTTTATTTTGAAATATCTGGAATTTATCTGCATCAAACATTGTGTCTTATCAGCATTTTGCAGGGTTTAACAGGGAATGCTGATGTCTTATGTACTTCACAGGAGATGGGAGGCAGCAAATGGTTTCAAGTGTTTGGTAGGATTGTTATCCTAAATCCAGCCCCTTACCCAGCCTTTCTCCATTAGCTTTTCATCTGCCATTCCCCACTGGCCTAAAGCAACACATTTGATATACCTCCAAACGTAAAATTCATTTTGAGTTCCTATAATCCCTTGTCCCCCTAGAATTCACAGATGCATCTATTTTCAGGAAGCACATAAAGTTATGGTATAAAATGCTGGGGCTCTTAATTTTTTTAAATGATAAAATCATCCTTTGCTTTTCCAAGCTTTCCCTTCTGCTCTGTAGGCAATCATTCTACTGTAAAAGTATTTACATGGAAAACCCCAGACTCACTAATGTGTAGGCTATTTCATCACACTGCTGTTTAGCTCTGTCTGGCATTCTGCAGAAGACCAGTGTGCTCACAGGGATACCAGTTAGACCCAGCATTTCATGTATGTAAATGACAGGAGAAAGAATGTTCAGTTTACGAAAGCAGAGATGATTCTCTCTTAGCTGGATATTAAAGCACTACTGTCATTATTATTTGTTCTTATTTCTCCAGAGGATCTGTGTCTTGATTAGGATTCTGTAATGGTAAATGCCTCTATCAATCACAGGGAGATCAAGTCCTTGTCAGAAGATGTGCATATAAAGATACCCCATACAGTAGCATGCCTCAAAGGAGCTTGATATTAATTTCATAGGTGCCAAATATATTAATGTGAGTTCAGGTAGACTGGTAGGTTTCTGAAATTTGAGATATTTCATGATAAAACCTTCTATTTATTTATATTAATTATTCCTATGATTCTCCCAGGAATAATTGTGATGCAAAAACGAGGACTTACCTGACTTTCAGATATGCGACTTTCTGAACTTAGGATATTGTCCTTTAATATGTTGAGTAAGGTTGTGTAGGAGTTCTGTATTAGGTGCTTTCATCAAAGGAATGAAAAACTGAAGATGAATCCTTGTCACTAGTGCAGTTTACTTAGGAATTTACTGAGGCTTTATCCCTTAATCTAAAGGTTACAACATTTAAAATAATGTGCTTTTAATATTCAGAATGGACCCAATTGCCCTCTAAGTAGCAGATAACTTTGAAATGCTGTTAGGTACAGATACCCATACATTACCTTCCCTCATTTTCCTTTCATAGAAATAATGAAACTTGAACTTTACTGCAAATACGCTTTTGTCTTCTGTTCAAGCAAAAGAGTAAGAGTTGACTATAAGCCTGCTCATGTGTGGTGTTCCTGAGTTCACTGCTTGATTTGTTTGCAGAGATGGCAAACCAAGAAGATATGTTTAAAACACTGCCAGTTGTTTTCATGTGTAAGAAGAATCCCATCCATGAAGGAATCTGAACTAGGAGGACAGGACAGGAGTTCTTGGCTGCACTCTTTTGCTGACATCATTAAGCTCTTGCCATAAGATTGTATGAAGATGCACCACCCAAGGAATTTTAGATAAAATGTTGCAGATTGACATCAAATACAGGGCATATATATACACATCCATTCCATTTCACAGAGCATCCACTCTCTCTCCAGGCACAGCTGCAGGACTCTTCATAAATAAATAACCTCGTGTAAGACAGATTATGTTCCTCGGATATCAATCACTGGTAAATATCGTGTTCCTACTTACGGTGTAAGAATACTAAATGGAAACTCATGAAGATTTCAGATTGCTATTATATTTACAGTCCTGGGGCTTACTGCTGAGAGTTATTGGATGTCTTTGCCTCTGAATGTGGGCTGAAAGCTGCAGTGGGATACTCATTCCTAGCTTGCCTCTCGGATTTTCAAATCAAGGTTAATCGTACTTCTTAAAGACCTGCCTCTAAATCACTGTAAATATTGCAAAAGGGTTCCAAACTTTGTCAGATGGGATTATTGAGGGAACAAAAGTACAAACTCATCCTTTCCTGATTCCATATCTGGAAAATGTTTCAGACCAAAGCCTTCTTAGAATTGTGTGATTACAGGGACTTAATGTAGTGAGTGAGATGGAGGGAAAAATGTCCAAGAAACACTTAGAGCACTGGAGAGCCTTCTAGTATCCGCACAATGAAAGGGCAGTTATTTAATTCCCTTTCTTTTACTGGGCCATCAGCTCTTTTTCTGTCAGTGGTCAGATAATCCCCAATTCCAGCTGCAAATAATACATCTCTCCATGTACTGATATCAAGAAACGGTTGTTTAAACCCTGGATTCTTGCCATCTTTCAGAGGCAGTGAGTGATTTTTTGCAGTCTGTTTGAATGCTTCTCTCACCAGCCACTGTTGTCCACTGGCCAAATAAAGATGAGGGATTGCTTACAATTTCAGGAATTCTGTGTTGGAGACTGTCAGTGTTTTGAATGAAGCCACAGTTGGGTGTTTTGAGATGACTCTATTTTTTTTTAATGTGAGTGCAGCTCCTGTTTCATTCCTTATTAATTTTGGCTTATTTATAAATAATCCCAGACAAGTTTAAATATTTCCTTTTCATATTCTATTCCATTCTGTTTATTCTAACAGGTAAAAGTATAGTTAGAATTTACAGAGTCCTCTCTCCCCCATTATTTACAATACCACTGATTAGCTTGTGATCATTTTTATTGACCTCTAAAGAAAATGAAATACTCAAAATTTGCTAAAATCTTTGGTTTTAACTGTTAGTTTTAATTATTGTTTTTATTGGGGAATATATAAAGGGATATTTTTTATCATTTACTTTCTTAACATAATTGCTCTTATTTTAGGATTGAATTACTTTAGTTCTGTAGCATTCTCATTCAATAGCAAAAGGATGATCAAAACAGAGGAGCAGCCCAGCAGAAAAGTATCAGCAGAGCCAAAACTACCTTGGCCAAAATGTGAGCTAAGAGGGGTACACAGCATTTCATTACTCTGATTTAGTCCAGGTACCCTAGAAGTATTCCTGTGGAGGGTATTTAGCTGAGGTAACCAACCTACCAAGAAAACCACTGCAGCTTACTGTAGCCACCTTGATCCTTAGTGAGCTTTAACATGGTGCAGTAAGCTTCAGGCTGACCAAAATTCAGATGTTTGTTGAGAGATGATTGTTTTCAACTGGAATATAACAAGTATGGCTTTTCCTAAAGTTTTTTTTTTATTTCTGTTTTGAGTTAAAGCTAGAAAAATTAATTTCAGTGTGCCTCTTAATTTGTAATTTTTGTGGTAATGCTCTATTCCATACAACGTCATGTTTAGTGCACCATGGGCTTCATAACACAGCCTCCTGAATTTTCCAAGAAGATTCCTTCAGTGTAGGGGAAAGCTTATTATTTTGTGATTAGTTTCTATTACAGAATAAATAATTTACAGATAAAAAGTGATTTTGCTTTCCACAGAAATGCACAAAGTTTTCAAATGTAGAAATCAGAAGCTTATTTTTACTACTTCTATTAAACAGTCACTAGGAGAAAACCATTTATGAATTGCAAAAGGGAGGTAGAGAGGTACACCTTTTTAGAGGTGTATTCAGCCAATTTTGATTATTTTAAATTATGTTAGGCATTTTCAAGCATTCTCCTTCAGTGGATTCATATTTCAGACAGTATTTCTGACAATCTATTTTATGCTTCATTGACCACAGGGTTTGAAATTCTAGTTCATATTGGCACAGTAGTGTCAAATTTGTAGTGATAAATGGATAACTTTTTTTTTTTTTTAAATAGGTCTCTGTTGTTTAATTTGAGATCTGTAATTTTTTTTCTGGTTCATTACTTCTGCTATTTTTCTGTCTAGGAAAAAGTGATTAAAAGAGACAGAGGGATCAAGGTGCTTTAGACTTGTCCATGTGAAGAAATGGATTGTCCAAGGGAGGGTAAATGTACTCATTCTGTCTATTCATTTTGCTTTAACAGAATTAATGTTATAGTTTTCTGAATTTATTTTTTTTTTTAGTGAACCAACACTGCTACTCTTGGGAATCTGTTGAAAATGTGCAACCCAGGATTAATTATTGGGTAGTGTACTTGCTAATGTTATTTTCATAAGCAGAGACATTTTATTTAGGTGTATCATGAATTAAATTTCTTTACTTTCAAAAATGTAGTAGTGCTGCTAAATTATAACATCCTCATACTTAAAATGATACTACCTCCTATCATTATTTAAGTATATTCCACTACCTAAAGCTGAAGAGGAAATTATGCACTGAGAAAATACTTCTATTTCAGCATGTTCTGTATTATTCTTTATCAGTTTTATAAAACACCATATCTCTTCAAAAACAGGCCTTGTATCTCAAGTTAGTCATGTTGCTTTCCTTAATCTACAGAAATTTGCATTTTATATTACTCATGTAAGATAATTCTGACTCAGATCCTTAAGATTTTGTAGATTTTTTTTCATTGTTTTTGGTGGAAAATATTCCTAGATTTTCATATGTTGTAATATCTGGGAGAATCCCTTTTCATATATAGACTGCAATTAAATAGAGAGGAAACAAGTGGAATTATAATAGGTCAAGAGGCAAAGAAAGGAGTTACCTACCTGTGGTCAATGAATGGCTTGAGAGAGCTGAACAGTACTGTGTTATATCTGAAGACAATACAGAAAAGCAGCTATTCCTTAAAGTGGAATAAAGAGCTTGCTTCTGAAACTGATGAGTGCCAATTTAAAGTCACAATGTGATGAGGAATAGGACTACCGCCGCTATTTGGGACTTTGGCTTGTATTTTCTTATGTGCATTACATTTCCTTGTGTATCTTTTGTGTTGCAAACGATTCAAGTTCCTGCTTTTTGTGTGTATCAAGCCTATGTTTTCACCAGGAAAATCTATTTGGTGTGTGTTTTTGATTGGCATTTGTCCAGGAAGCCATGATAGTGAATCATGGGATCATAGACTATCCTGAGTTGGAAAGGACTCATGCATCAACTCCTGACTCCACATGGGGCAACCTGAAAGTTAAACCTAATATCTAAGAGTGTTCAAACACTTCCTGAACACTGACAAGCTTGGATCCATGACCTCACTGGTGAGCTTGTTTCAGTTCCTAATCACATTTTCAGTGAAGAATGTTTTCCAAATAACAAAGAATGCCATGTTGGAAGGATTCTCAAGGGTCACCTGGTCAAACTGTTCTTAGCAAAAGCACTGTCTCAACAAAATGGCCCAGCACCATGTCCAGCCAAAGTGTTCAGTGTTGGGGAAATCACTACTTTTCTGGGGAAGATATTTTAATGCCTAATTGCTCTCATTGTGAAATTTTTTCCTCGTATGAGCAATCAGAATCTCCCCAAGAGTAACTTGTACCCATTATACCTGTTTTTTTCTGTGACTGCTTGTAAGGAGTGCTATACAAGAGCTTCCTTTCACAGTGGTTTCAAAAATCAGATTGTTTCTAGAAATGCTAAACTGTTACGTTATAGTACAAACAGAAAACCTTTTAGTTAAGAAGAAATGTTTCAACTGGCACATTTTGATGTGCAAATGTGTGTATATATACATATTCATATATGTAAAACACCGTCTTATGTATATAATACTTATATCATGAGTGAGAAATATAAAACTTACATCATGGACTGTGATAATAATGTACTAAAACTTGAACAGAAATTCCAGAATACCAGGTGACATTTTGTCCTTAAAATTCAGATGGAAAAGCTACTATTTTACAATTTTATTTGCTGTTAAAAATTCAAGAAAGTTGTCTTTCATTAAAAGTAAGAATAAAGGGTAAATAAAAGTATTCAAGCTCACCTTTTTGGGTTTTTTGACAAGGCTTACTGTTAGATTTCAGAAGGCGTGTGCATTTGAGAAAATGTTGGCTTGTATGCCAAAGTGTGCTGACCTTACCACCATAAGCTCTTGGTATCATAAATTGTTTCTACTACTACTATGAGATCACTATCCCATTCTTGGATTTGATTATAGTTGGCCATCAAGTTAAAAAAATCATTAAGTCTAATTTCCTAAGAAATCAGGCCAAAGTGTTAAGACAAAAAGATATGATGCTGTTAAGAAGGAACTGTAGAAATGTGTTTAGCGTTTAGTGTTTTCAAAGAGAGCTAAATATTTTTTTGGTCTGGGAGGGAGGATTGATTGCTGGTGAATGGCATATAAAATTCGTAAGTTGTCTTCATGTATTTTGATACTTGTGAATTTGTAACATAGGCAATGACACGTTAAAACAAAGTGATTCTCCTCCTCTTCTTTTTCTCACTGATTTTCTTTAACTTCATCTGTGTTGACAGAAAGGAGTTGGAAAGAAGGGAATTTGGATGAATTTATTGTCATGATGGGAGAAGAAAGGCAAAGAAGAGCTTCTAATGTTTTAGAATGCATTAGAATGTTAATAGACAATTACCATAATTAAATAAAAACATTCTGGTTTCCTAGTAGTGTGCCAGTTTTCAAAAATCAAGTATTCCTTGTTGTCTCTTACTTGAGAGATATAAATCAATTTGTCTACTAAATCCAGGAGATGTCAAAGCACATGTTTTATTTATCATGGTGTGTTCATCTATTTGTGTTTTCCTTTATTGAAAATGTGGGTTGATTTAAGATTTAAAATTATTAATTTTCTACTCTCTCTTTCTACTTGAATGTCCTTTATTTTCATGTGCAGTCAAAGAAGCATGAGTATAAGCCTCCATGCTGTGCGTAGAAATAACTCCTCTAGCAACTGGAAAGAATTAAAGCACTGCATTAGCAGCAAAAGCTGCATTAGCTGGAATGGTTTATCCAGGATATGCTAACTGATAAACTTGTATCTATTTAAGAAAGATCTAATTAGGATCCTTTTGTTACATAAACTAAACGATATTATTATAATGAAGCATACATAAAATAATGAATAGAACATGATTTTTTATAATTTCATTCAAATGAGATGACTTAAAGGTAATTTCTACATTTTAAGCATTTGGTTTCATGACATTTCCTAGCAATTCACCAATTATAATGCCTCAAATGTTTGCCATTATTAAGAAACATTTAATGTAAGATTAGATTAGCCATAAATATTTTATAGGGAGAAAATATATTATTTCAGGTACATCCCAACATCTTTATGCCTGTAATTCTCTGCATCTACATACAAATAAAAGGGATGCTCTGATAGCATATTGCACTCCTACTACACCCTTCTGTTGTGGGTGAGTCAGTTTTGAAACAGTTTGAAGATTGTCTTGATTTTGCTTCCAAAGTCTAAAGCTAGATACATTTTGGTTTGACTTTTCTTCCCTTTCTCTGAACTGTCATCTCAGCAGCCTTTGAAGCTGTGGCTGTTCCCAGGCATTTGAAGATTTGTCCTTGACTGTCCATAGTGTGGTTCTGCCTGGCACTGCAAGGGACAGGTCTGGCAGCCTCCTTGTTGTTTTTCTAGACCACTATACCATTTGGGCGTATTTTGTAATGAAAAACTGAGGTACTACAATGTTAAGCGATGGTGTAGGGTTTAGAAGGGCTGTGGCATGGAGCTGCTTTACTCAGTACCTTTAATCACCCTTTGAACTGTAACACTGTTGAGGCATTGGTTTTCCTTCTCAGGGAGGACAGGATTTGTACCATGGCAGTCCCATGTGAGTAGGGGAAATCAGTCTTCATGAATCAAGCCAGTAAAGGAGAAAGTGGAGAGAAGGAAACTGTATTTCATTTCATATTTAACAGCCCATTATGGCAGGATTGCTGCAAACAAATATTTTAATTTTTAGGCACATATTTTAAGCAAAACCAAAGTGAATCTTCTGAGGACACAAGACATATTCTATAGATGTTTTCCCTCTTCATTTTTTTTGCCTTTTGTGTCAAGGAATTACATACCAATCTGCTTCTGGTGCATTGTGCCCACATCCCTCCTGACTGTACTCTCATTTTAATGACCCAAATAGCAGTCTCAAAAGTTCCTTTCCCATGGGCTTATGACATGTATCTAGACTGTGACTCACCTGCTGCACTCCAGGCACCCCGTTAGTTGGTGACCACAGAGCAGTAAGGACACCCTTTCTTACAGCAAATGGACCTGAACTGAGGAAGTCGGGATGTGAACCCTAAGCAGGAGCTGGAAATGGGCAGCAGCATCAGGGGCAGCCTGGTGTGGACCTTCCTAGAGAACACTCACAGTTTTACAGAGCAATAACACACCTCAGAAGAGATGCTTTGTAAGACTGCTCTGCTGTGTGTTTTAGGGGTGTTCTTTGCTGTTCAGGTTTATTAAAGGAGTTATAGCATCTGCTCTAGAGCCTCCTGCTCTATTTATTCTCTTGCTATCTGAGGAGAAAACAATGCTGGGTGATTATATTTGGATCACACAGTAACCAAATTTCTATCAATGACTTAATTCTCTATTTAACAGATAGTATTACTTTTATTTTGTGTTTCATAGAACCATTTAAAACTGTCTAACCAAATGAAATTAGCAATAATTTCCTAAAAGGTTCTTTTTAATTTATGTCTGTCCTCTGTTTTCTGCAGTTTTGTGCATCTACAAATTCTGTTTTGTTTACATTTGTTGACAGGCAATATCGGTCTTCCTTTGAAAGTTTGATTTGCTTCCTATGAGATTTCTTGATATGTAGTAGAAATTTAGTTATGACTTAAGCTTAAAAAGTCCCACCTTGACTGTTTCATTGCCTCTGTGATAATCTTAAAAATCTGTGTAATTCACATGCTACCACATGGGTGCTGAAGTAACAGTGTTTCTTTTAAAAATAAGCATAATTATTAAGAAAGATAAGAAACTAAAATAATAAAATATAAAAATATATATATTCTTACATAGAACATGGGATTATTATGTTTTTAAAATACTTTTAACTGTATACTTCATAGCAACTTCTTAAAATTTATTTTCATTTAGCTGTGGATTCCCCTTAGTCATCTATACTAATGCAAACAGCAATCCCTATTCAATGCATAGAAGGCTTTTATGAAGTTGTAAGGGTAAGAATAATGTCTTTGCTTTTTAGATTTTCCCTTTTGTTGGCAAACACATATTGGAAAGAGAGAGAATAGGCTGGCAATATACTTTCTTGGTGTTTAATGAAATGCTGTTAAAAATCATCAGTATGACAAAATTTATGTCCTTCCAGGAGATGCAACAGAAATACAAAGTTGTTTACAATAACACCATTTTACCATTTATTTCCCTTTTTTCACTTAATGATAAACACACTATTTCTTGTGTAAGAAGATCATTTCTCTTCCTCATATACCCTGTGAAGTAATAACAGCCATTAGTTCCTTGGTGCCAGTTCTGCTGGTACTAATGAAATCTCTTCTACTGATTTATCTTGCGGTTAATTTTACTTTGGAGCCTTGGAATGACATAAACATTAATTGAAACTTTTCATAGGTTTTGTGCCTGAACTCTTTCCCATGTTGTCTTCTCTGGCCTATACACTCAGGCCACAGCCTGTTCCTCTTTAGGGGTATGTGTTTGAAGTCTCTCCCATTCACTAGAAGTCTTTTTTGACAATACCTGGGGGAACAGAAAAGTTTAATTTCAGCAAAACTAACAGCTCAGAGAGTGATTAATGTCAGCAGGCTGACAGGGCAGATAATATTGACTTCATTAACTAGAGAACTGGGTAAAAAAACCCATAAAAATTAAATGTAACCTCTAATGCTTCCTTGTCATGTGGTATAGGAAGTGAGAATCACTCACAGTAAATTATCGTTCCAAAGAAAATGTATGCCATTATGATAAATGTGATATAAATAGGTAGATATACTGGCTTTCACTGCTGCCTTTTACTAAGTCATTGTCCTGCCCCAGATTGGTTGTACTGTAGTGATTCATAGATAATTTCTTGTAATGAATGAGCATGATTCAGGTAGAACTTGGAAACTGGTAGCAAAGCTTGTTTTTAAAACATTTATTTATCTTAGTGATACAGTAGATGATACAGTAGAAGCTGAATCTAAAATAAGAAGTCTCCTTCAAATTCTTTTGGAAGGAACACAACATTTGACTCTAACGTCTTATAGAGGTATAAAAAGGCAGATGTCCTTGTGTTTGCAATCTCCATCTTAATGAATTAGAAAAAATGAGGACCTATTTGGGTTTGTACATGGTTTGAACCACAAGTTGGAGATTAGCAGTCTCGTCTGTGGTGGTGCATGTCTGCGTCTTGGAAGAGACACAGAATTGAAAGGGTTCTTAATTTTGGGTTACTTTTTTATAATAATAGTAATTTTTTTTTTTAAACTTAGGTCAGAAAATGGAAAAATGAATGTTCTCAGGGTAACACTAGCTCAGCCTCTTTGCACAAATAGATTTTTTTTCCCCCCTGTATATTTCTAAAGCTTATTATGTTACCATTTGTTTTGCTCTGCATGGAAGAAATTCCCTTCCTTGCAAGGTATACGCTGCCTTCTGTACACTTTCAATAGCTAAACAGTTCTAATAGCAATGATTAAAGGATCAGATGTACAGTTCAATTAGTAGAAGTGGGTTTTAATTTCCTGAGCCTTGATTGGAGATGATATTGATGTAACCTTAATTTTAACTGTGTATATGTTTTGAAATGTAGATATAAAACAATACATCTGGAAAATGTCATCAGGCATGAATGAGGTGTGCTAGACTGTGTGTCCCTCTGATGCAGGAGCAAACAGCAAAGAAATAAGCAGCTAAGTCACTCGATATCCTGTGCTTCACTCAGGTCTGCATCAGAGCCTTATCTTCCTCCCTTTCATCACACACAGCTTACATATCATTACCCTCCCCCCCATGCAAACAATTTTGTTATCAGCCACAATTATTATTTGCTAACACACCAAATAGAAATTAGAGAACTGAAATTTATAAATTAAAACTGCCATGCAGTTCAACTACACTCTCACATTTCTGCCTACGAGTTGTGCTGACCGGTGCAAGCTCAGCAATGAGGTCATGTAGAAGGGTTTTTAAAAGTTCTCCTGGGGGTTTTTCCTGCACTTCTGAGGACTGAAGAGGTGCCCTCAGCATTGAGTGTGCTGCCCTCTGCTGCTGCGTCCCTGCTCGTTGTAGCTCTTGGGGACCCGGGCCAGGAGCTTCTTTGCGAGGGCAGGGCTGATGGAGATGAGGCTAAGCCAGAAGCAGCAAGATGCAGGTCTGCCTACAGCATAGCGTGGGAACAGCCCATGGGCTGGAGCTTAAATGCAGCTCCTAAGCTGAGAGGCCCAGGCAGCAGCACTTTTCCCAGCACCCAGCAGTGCTGCTGGAGCTAGCCATGGCCAGCAGAAAGGCTGCAGGATGCCTCTGTGCCTCATGCAGGGCTCTGTCATAGCCTTCTCTCTAGAGAGGAGTACACCAGTGTAAATAGAGTTTAATTACTGTCTCTTCATTCCCTGCTGAGAAATGGTTAGAGAACGGAACCGGGGCATGTGGAATTGGCACCAGTGGGAAGTTATCCCAGGTAGCATTTGTCTCTTGTTGGCTGCTTCTGAAATCCATACAGTGAGATTTACCGTCATCAGAAAAGAAAATGTAGGTCTGAACATTGCAGATCTGATGACAATTCTGATCTTAGTGACTAATGCTGTCAGGGGAAAGGGAGGAGGTGATGCCTTGTGTGGGAAAATAGAGGTGAATGAAAAATGAGCCAGAGAAAAGTCAACTCTGAGAATGCTTTAACATTCTCAAGTCTTATAATAGACCTAAAGCAACTCAAGAACTTTGGCTTGGATTTCAGAAAATAAGCTCCCATTCAGTATTTGACACTTCTGCTGCTCCCTGAAATTGTAAATTTTCCCCTCCCATGTTAAGGTTCATGAACTGCAATAGCAGCCTAAATATTTCACCTTTCCTTTGTCATTTTGTTTCTGTAGGATTTGGGAAGCTGAATTGTTTAACATATGAAAAGTGAATAATTAAGAGACCTTGATTCCTTCCTTAATGGATGTGAATGCCAAGAGTAGTTAACAATGAGGAAGAGACTTGCATTGATTTTTGTTAAGAAATGTGAGAAAGGATAGAAAAATGTTTTTCTCCTTTTTTTCCACTGGAAAAGAATAGCAAATAGGCTGCAATGTAATATTAGGAATAATATTGTTCAAAGAATATATATTCTTTGGAATATATATTTGTATATTCTTTGGAATATATCCTTTATAAAGATATGTTACAAAAGTTGAATTCCACAGGTTCATTAAGGAATGGCTAATTGAAGGTCAAACAGTAAAAAAATGTGCCCTCAGGACTCTTTTTGTCCCTGCAGTTCATCATTTGGAATAGTGGCTTTTGCTTCTTCTCAATATTAATAAGGTGATCCGTTTTATTTCCTAAAAATGAATTAAAGATGGTGAATTTTCCTTTTTATAAGACGATAGCAGAAAGAATATTAGAAAAGAACATGTCTAGAGCTGTTATTTGGGTATCTTTCTGTCTGTGAGGAGGACCCCTGTGGTGTTTTATTCAGAGACATTTATTCACTGTCTCAAAGTGAATAATTTCTCAAAGATCTAAATTTCAGTTGTCAAAACTTTCTCCTTTCAGATATAGCAACTGAAGATTTTAAAGCCATGGGAATAACCTTTGGCTTGAATTTAAATGCATATCTCCAGGGACTTCAAACTCAAATCAGACTGCTTTCTACCCAACAGATTTTGCAGGTAATACAATACATATAGAAATTATTTTCAGAGACAGGCCTTGGCCAATCCACCACCACACACACTATGAGTAAGGGGAAAGAAGAGCCCTCCAGGCAGACGCTTACAGCTCTTTTTGTTTACATTCCCTTCATCGGTTCTTTTTCACTCTACATCAAATTGCATGTCTTTGGCAACAACTGGGGCTTGTTTCCATCTCTCTTGTAAACTGAGTTACTCATAACTGTCTCTTGCTTTCATGGTACACAACACTTCTGCTCCGACTTTGCTTCCTTTGTTTTGGCTGGTGTGCTTAAGAATTCTTAAAGTGTTTTTCCATTTTGGAAGAGGAGGTTTCTGAAAACACAGGCAAGTCATTACAGCTGGATGCAGCGTGACAGTTCTGTTGGCTGTGAACATGCTGAGGAGCTGTAACACGAGGATTGCACATCTGTATAACACAGATGTGTGTGTACAGGCCTGGCTACAGCCTGTGTGTGCATACACACTTAATCTTCTCAGTGCAGGCCACCCTAATTCATGCACTGCAGCTTTCCTCCTCCATGAGAGGTTTCTGGGACCCTGAGCATTCATAACCATCACTGAATATTAAGGAATGATAATCCAGTGTCCTTGCTGGCATTAATCATCCTTCTGGTTTCAACTGTGTTGTGGATGCATTGTGTTTATCTCAGTGTAAGGACTGCTGTAGCACTGGCTGCTGTTAGATATTAGACAGAAAATGGCCTTCACAGGCAGTGTGCTTCTGTTTCTCAGAAAGCTAATGTTCTGAAAGAAGCTTTGCTCAGCCTTCCAGCTGCAGTGCCACAGCAGTCATATAATACTTCCAGGAAATTGAATACTGTGGGGAGTGTGCGTTAGAATGCTTGTAAGCAGGACATGTAAGGATCATTAAGTGAAAGAAATTAATCAGTTATATTTACATGTGTTGGAAAGGAGCAGCCTAAAAGAGCAGTTCATCCCAACATGGACAGCAGCACAGCCATGATGTACTATTCTACCAAACCAGACAACTTATCCTCTCCAAGTCTTCACTTGTATCACACTGTGCAGTGTTTTTTTATCCAGCATACACATTAAAAAGGAACCGAAACAAAACAAAAAAGCCACAAACCCTTAAGGTCAGTCAGTCTAAATAATGACAGGCAATACAAATGCATTTTATACATAAACAGAAAAGGAGTGGGGAAGGTCTTTCTCATTATGCCAAATGGCAGTCTGGCTATGATTTAATGCATTTGAAATTAAGTCTGTCTCTTCAGCTGTACATTTTTACTAGGTCTGCAGAACAGACTGGCAGACAGTGTGAGCAGATGCTTCCGGTTGGATCAGGATAAATTTCTTTGTGCTGGCTTTTTTGTCTGATAAAATCTTTTGAATCTTTTTGCAGCAGTGAGCTTTAGGTGTTTTCCAGATGAAGTATTGGACCAAATGAGCCTACTGGTGTATCATTGTAAGGAGTCTGTAAAGGAAGCTTCTGTTTAAAGATCGCTGCTTACTGTGTAGGTAAATAACAAATATGACTCTATGACTTCAATATCTTCCTCGTTCTTTCCATTTTCTCATGGCACCTAAGTAACTGTTTTTTTTTTTTTTTTTTTTTTTTTTTTTTTTTTGTGAATTCTTGTGATTTTTTTCACCCAGTCAGTGCAACATCTGGTCCTTTAGGGATTTACAGTATGTGAAATGAACACCTTATTTCATAAGTAACCAAAAGAAAAGGGGATTATGGTTTGGTGGTTTTTTCTTCAGAATTAGGAGAAGTAGTAACCTACATTTTTCCTGCTCCTTGTGTGTGTGAGGGTGTTCCTGGAAAGTTCTAGTGCTAAGATATTTATCAATAGTCAAATTCATAAAGTCTCAGATCCCACAAGTAGACCCTGACAACAATGACCTTTTCCTGAAGAGTGGGGAAAACATATCATGCAACCATTTATGATGAGCTGTCATCTATCATACTTCAATACATAACAATAAAAAAGTACCTCCAGAATGACATGAGGGACAGTACAGCCAAAACTATGGCTGAATATCATTGACTGAATGTATTAGAGGTGTAATTCATTATTGCTCAGTTCAAATTTTTACTTTAAATAAGAAAATTATCTCTGAAAAGTGATTATGCTTCCTGAAAAATTGAAATAAATTGAATTTAATGGAAAGGGACAGATAAACAAACAAAAAACCCCAAAAAAGAAAAGGAGTTTAAAATGCCCTTCTTGATAATTCTCTATATGCATAATTTTTTCTTTGTTTCTCTTTTTTGTTCCTTTTTTTTTTTCTGCTTAGAAGCTTTATCTGGGTCTTTAGTTCTTCCTGCTCCTTTCTTATCTTAGCTACTCTTTCAGCAAGAGTTTATGGCCTGTGAGCCAATTGCCTTTTTCTTCTTTAATTATGGAAGCTGAAGGCCACTTTGTCTGCCTTGAGTGCTTAATTGAAGGAGGACCATGCTTACTTTTTTGTTCCTGCCTAGCTTGCCAAGAGTATGGTGCACTGCACAGAAGGGACAACAGCTTCTTTGGTGATTTCTTTTTAACTAGCATCCTGAAGTAAAAGGGGGAGCCAATAAGGAGATTATAGTACTCTGTCCCTTATTTGGGAAGGATTGTGATGGCCTAGTCTAGGCTAAGTATATGTAGAATGTTCTTCAGCTTTTCTTTTACCCTGGTAGAAGATATGAAAAATACTTTTTTAAAGGAGTTCACTTAACATATGCTGTGTCTTTTTTCCCTCATACTAAAAGGGGGAAGAGGTTATATTCACAAAGGCATCTCGTCCTTTCTACTCTTTCCTCACTAAGTGATATTTTTCCTCATTAATTTATTTTGAAAGTGTATGAGTGGTCACTTCAAGCTGGTTTGGCCTTTTATATGCCATTCCTATAAATCAGTCAGAATGTGACTTTGAACAAAAATTATCTCTATTAATGTTTTGTTATTTATTGCTCTTTGTATGTTTGTCCAATTTGTTATCTGAATGAGTCAGTCATTGCTTTAAAGAAGGCATGTCTTAAAAATTATTCAATACAGCAATAAGATTTCTAAGCAGGGAATTTAAATTACTCTTACAGTATTTATGCTAAAATGACAATCAATCTAGTTCTACTCTGAGATACTTGCTAAATTGGTAGTGGGATTGAATTTGGCTCTGACTTTTCAGAACATGCAGATCTTATGATTGAGTCATGAAGGGTGAACCGTCACGTATCAAAGCTTAATTATTGCTTAAGTTTATCCTTCAATCATTCTCTGATTTGCTCATGCTAAAGGAAAAATATTTCCTGTTTTGATGCCTTTTATTTTCCCAGGAACAAATCCAGTGATGCCAAAGGAAGCTGTGGTTGCAGTTTAGTGACAAAATACAAAAAAAAACCCCAAAGTGATAATTAAGTTATGCTATGAATATTGGTTATAAATTACGTTGTCTCCTGTAAGCACTTGGGACTTCTGTTGTCTTTTTCTTTTTAGTGCATCATTTTTCCACAATATTGGATGCCTGGCCATGTGCAGAGTTTTTCTTATCTAAGGATACCAGCTGTTTACTGGAGGATGAAACTAGTTGTTCCTTTCTCAAGCAATGTCTGTCACAAGGAGACAAAAATGTGTGTATGACTTGATTTGTTTTCATAATGACGAATGTAGTTTAGTTAGGAAATTGATTGTAAAAATAGAAACCAAGCTTTGAAAAGCAATTTGAAGATATGGTGTAGATCTGTTATGATCATTTTAAGGCTACTGAGAATATTTCACTTACGTAGTTAATCTTTTCAGTGTCTAGCAATAATGTTAATGTGGGAAGCCAATGTTGAGAGTAGGATGCATGTTTGGCTGATATGCACCCAAATTATATGCTAACTACTTAATGCATTATTTCCGTGGAATGAGTACATAGAATGCAAATGTAATATAATGCTGAGACATTAATCTTCTTCAGAATATACAAGTATCAGCACAGAGGAGCAGTAATCTCATTTAGGCTTTCTTCAAATAATGTTGAGAGATTTTGACTCTCTACTGGTTTAGAGGTATAAGCAACAATTTGAGAGTCAGGATCTACCAGATTCAGGTCATCCTTGAAACACGTTTCAAACCCCATCCCTGAAATATCTCAAAGCCTAGGCTGAAAAAAGTATCCTTGTATCAAGAGAGCACTGTCTGTATGACCCAGACAGGGACTGGGCTATGTCATGCTGTTCCTCCATTTCCTCCATCTGTCATGCTATTACACCACTCCTTCACCTGGTTGGTGTTGCTCAGTGCTACTCTGTGTTAATTCTAACCAAATTAAGGAAGCATCCTTTCTGTAGCTATGGAGGAGCTCTCTGCCTGTTGATATCAACAAACTACTTGGTGTTTCCTTAGCAAAATGTATGCACATTGTCTAGGCAGACCAGTTACTTCAAATTTGCCCAAGGCCTTTATAATGTTCTCGTACACTGCTGCCTTCTTTGAACATTCGTCCACTAATGAGGGAATGAAGCAGGTACCATTTTAAGAAATAACTATATGAGAAAAATAAAATTATCTTGGTCTTAAATATGCTAGTTTGCCTTTTGGCATGCTAGAATTGTAAACTTTCAAGTTCTCTTAGTTAAGTTTTGTGTTTATACGTTATCTTTGATGGTTTTTTTGCTCTCTTGGCACATGTAAGACGGAGGCAAGAGGTGCACCGAAAATGTATTTGCCACCTCCTTGCCCAAGGAGACTTGCTTTCTGTGATTTGGTCTAATCAAAATCAGTATGGAAATGCCTATCTCCACTTTGAATTTTATTAGTCCACCTAAGACTTCACCATTTCACCTCTTTACTTTGCTTGACATATTTCATGATTGTGGCATAAATGAGTCCATATCTGTAACAGAAGAAAGTATTGTAGATTATTAAAAGATTCAATTTTCTTTAAGAAAAAAAAATCCCAGAAATCTCCTTCTTGCTTCTAAATCCTATGTGTGAATACATTGACACAAATACCACTTTAACTGAGGAGACAAACAGAATGTCTACAGATTCTTTGCAGGCCAAGTCTCTCTCATTCTGTGTCAGGTCTCTGCACTTCACAGGTGCTCCATAACCAATTTTCAAAGCACTGTTTTGGGATATTTGGATACATGCTGTTGGACATGTAGGACCTGGGATGCCTCATGATTTTTTGTTTGTTTGTTTCCAATTCTATAGTACCGTTTTGTCACACTGAGTACAAGACTCCTTTGGGAGATGGGAGGGGCTCTTCATAGAATTAGAGGTGATTGCCCATGTTTTATCAAACACCAGTTTTTGAAATCCTTCTAGACAATGTCTTCAAAACATGTTGAAGAATTTAATCTTAACCATATTTAGCTTTGCATGCAAGTAGAGATCTGGTTGTACGTAAAAGAATTTAAACTGAGTTGTCATACTAACATTTAAATCTTTTCTTTCCAGCACAGCACCACTGTGGGTGTGTTACATAAATTGCCACAATGGAGTGTATTTCAGATCCTTCATCTCAGAGGCCATCTGTCATTGAAAGTGGCACGTTCACCTGCCCATCACTTCTGCAGGAATGTGTGCACTAGACAGGGCACATCCCCATGAAGTTAACAATAGAGCAGCTCTTCATACAGCTGACTTTTGAAAGACTTGGTAATCAAGTCGCTCTTTCAGATGGGAATAAACATCGCAAATAGATTGTTCTTTCTGTCCAAAAGAACAACAAATGGTATTTTGTTTCAGGAAAGACCAAACTAGTTCCCTGAAGGATATTTTTCTACTCAGTAGAATCCGACATTGCTTCTGTGAGTTCATCTCTACTGTCTCTGACCCTTGACAGTAATCACAGAGTTCTAATAGAAAAATTATCCTCGAGTCCTTGAATGGATCTAGGGAAGATTCAGCATTTTTATGATTGTTAATCCTTATATATATTTCTCTCCATTTTCCTTCAACTTTTGTATTTCCTTTAACTTGACAAAGTGGAAGTAAGACAGACACGATGTGTACAATTATTAATATTATTTGTCTGGAGTGTTTTTTGGTTTGAGAATATGTATGCATTTCTGTATTTGTTTAACTTTTCCTTGTTCTGTGTTTAATGCAAACTGTGTAAGTTGTTGAAAGAGGAACTTGACAGTGTGGATGTGTACTCACAATTTGCTCAAAGAATTTCAACTATGGGTCAGAGATTTTTCTTTCTAATCAGTGACAATGTACATAACCTTTCTGTCTGCTGTAAATGTTCCTGTCTCTAAAATGAGGCTTTACTTGCCTGCCTCACAGGCATGTTGAAGCTTAATTAGTATAAGTAATAAATGCTAAGTATTATTTTAAAAGATCTATTGCTCTCTAAAATTATCAAGTTTGGATCTTAATTCACAGTTTTATGAGCTAGGGTTCAGTATTGACTGCCTTAGATTTTCACAAAGCCTCTTCTGAATTTAATAAGGGATTTAACAAAATAACTGTTGAAAACACTTATGATTCTTAATAAAAAGCTAACTTGTACTTGCATTAAACTCTTAGAGCTGTGCACATTATCAGAGTTTTCTTGTATGACAGTCTTTGAAATGCAAATGTTGTACAGGTCTTGTCTGAAGAATATATGGTTGTTATTGTATTACCGTATATAAAATGTTTTTCTGCAGATATTTTCTTAAATTATTTTCTTCAGACTCCAGTATACAGAAGGAGCATCATTTAAAAACACATGCATTCTTTCAACATTTCACAGGTAAAAACAAATTACACAGTGGAAATTTATTCCATTTTTCTAAGTTGGGAGAGCAAAGAGTAAAATATTGGAGTTTCAAGGTACCTGGACTTGTGCCTTCTCATGTTTAATACCTTTCTTAGCATTCCTTGGAAGATAAGCATTGCATTTTTTTTTTTTTTTTGTTTTCTGTTGTTTCAAACATGCTCAAAGGGTCAGAGGTAGTGCTGTTTATGTTGTTGTTGTTGTTGTTTTTTTGGTTTTTTGTGTTTTTTTTTTTTTAATATATATTAGAGGTGCTTCTGGAAAACTCTATCAATAAAGTTAAAATATGCAGTATAACTCCAAGGAACAATATGTGTTCTGCAAAATTTAGAGAACAGTAAGAGGAGTATTCTAGAGAAACTTTGTTTATTGTGAAGTTAGTTCTGTGTGTGTTTTGAATGTGATTTTCCTTTTTCTGCTCTTACACTTTTTCTAGAGGCTACTTTTTGCTATTGTGGTATCTAATCTAATTAACCATACTTTGCTCAGGGATTTTGAGAAAGTTCCTCCCATGAATTCTTCTAATCTAAAAGTTGTCTAAAGCTCCAGGATGAAAATGTGGTGGCAAATGTCATTCTTTTTCTACAATGTAAGCTCCTTTGGTAGTGTTAAAAATCATCTCGTCCTTGGGGTTCACATTGAGGCTCTGCAACTCTCCCAGAAGCTAAGAATCATAACAAATCTTGTTTCAATATCTTTTTTTCATAGTTAGGAACATTTTTGAACTTGCCCTTGTAAATACACAGCAATATATAGAAAACAATAAAATAAAACCCACCACCGTTCCCTTCATTTTAATCCTTCAAAAAACAGTTTAATGTGTACTTGCTGATGTGCCAGAATTCATCGTGGTGGTTGTTGTTTTCAATGCATGCATTGAAGTAATTTTAGATAGCTGAATTCACAGCTCTGCCAGGTGATGTACAGAAGTGGTCATGCAAAAGCTCACACAAATATTTCAGTAGACATGGCTTAGAAAGGATTTATCTCTTGGTGGTTAGTTGTTGATTTCCAATGTTAAGAAGGTGCCCTTGTACACTGGTGCAATTTTAGGTACAACAGTAATAGCATTCAGGTCAGTTGTGTTCTAGGAAAAGTTTGTGATGTCTTTTTATGATGAAGAATGAGGTACATTCAAGGATTTTCTGTGTAGCACAACTCTGTCTCTCCATCTATTTGAACATGAAAATCTGCGTACAAATTTTCTGCTAAACTGTCATAAGCAGTTATGTCTTTGATTTATAGCTGACTTCTGGATGCATCTGATGCTTTCATTCATTAAGGAAGATTTCCAGCAAACGGTTTTATATCTGCATATTTATCAAGTTGAGAGGACACTGAAAACAAAGCTGCAAAACATTTCTGTATTCTCTAACACTAAACCAAATGAAATGTTTAACTTTAGGAGCTTTAAACTGGCTCTGACTGACTGGTCTGATACTTTGTGCTTCACCCCCTGTACTTTGCTATTTCTTTTCTCATTAGGAAGCAAGTGACTTCTTAGATTCCACTTACAAGAGAACAGGAGAAATATCTTTGTGTCCTAAAGATAGTCTAAAAGGCTGCCTTATTTTTTATTTCTAAATATATCTCTGAAGATCTCAGTGGAGATTTTTGTTTGTCTTTCTCAGAAAATGATGGATACTTTAGACAGGTAATTCCTCACGCTGCTGGCATTGGTTCTGACAGATAGAAAATACACTACTGGCTTCTCATGCTGGTGGGTAAATAAATCAGGAGTTCGTTTGGACAAGAGCAAATGGAATAAAAATGCATCAGGAGAAGTTCAGAGTTAGCACTAGGAAAAGGTTTCTCACCCAGAGGTGTTTGATCACTGGAATGGAGCTCTCTGGGAAGTTGTCATATCACCAAGCCTGACAGAGTTCAAGGAACATTTGGATGAAGCTCTTAGTCATATGATTTGGTTATAGGTGATGAGCAGCAAGTTGGATTCGGTGATCCTTACGGGTCCACTCTAACTTGAGATATTCTGTGATTTAAGACTGCAGAGTTTTGACTGATTGAACTAGGACTGCAAACTTTAAAACACTTTGTAGTTCATGTCTCACAGTAGGTTGCAGATTTTCAGTATTTGATTAAACACATTTTGTGTGGAAGATGATTTTGGAAAATCAGAGAAAGTAGCGAATTGTTTTCCCCAGGCAGAAAAATTAAGAAAGCACTATATGAGTGAAACAAAGGATGCTTCTTCTATCTTTTAAAGAAGAACATGATCCCTCTCTATGTGTCCAGAAAAAGTATTTTTAATTTCTTTTGTGGGTTTCTTTTCAGGCTAACAAACCAGTAAGTATATAGCCTGTTTCTTTAGCTATGTACTCCATTCCCCTGTCCCTTCCCACTCTAATCTTGAGGATGAGAAAAAGGGTCTCATTGCTGAAGAACTGTTGAAGAAGGGAAATTCTCTGTGGATTGTTTTTTTACTATGAATTTTAATGAATAAATGTGAGATCTAAAATTGCTAGCCTCTACTGCCTAAGCTAAAAGACAAACAGTGTCTGCGTGAGGTCTACCTGCAGAGTGTGACAGGAGGAAGAATTGTCACACTCTGAGCTTGACCTATTTTCCTTATTTGATGGAGAGAATGAGTGAATATCCTGGATGCCTGTCAACTGTATGACTGCAGAATCATTTATATTAGAGATTTAACTAAAAGAATATAGCAACAAATATTTACTTACTTTAGTTATCACTTTCCTGCTGTATTTAAGAGTTTTCTCCAAGGAGAATATGCAGAGCTGTGTTCAAAGAAGCATGAAATTCTTTTTTTAACGTAGACTGTTAGTCAACTCTTCATTTCAAATGCCCTCTTTAGTCTCCAACAGTCAAAAAGAAAACAACTTAGTTTATGTTTTCCTTCTAAAAAAGTAATTTCCTGAGGGTAACTTGGCTTAGGGAAAGACTGGGGATAAGTTCAACAATTTAATACAATCCCCAAAAAGTCAGTTGCCTTGTGAATCTTGCAGAAACCATTTGAATATCTTATATATGTAAAGTTTTGAAATAAAATACTATGAGACCATGACTTAGTGTTTTTAGGTAGGATGAAATCATCTTTAAAGATTTTTGTTTTGTAAAACACAAATTTCTTATCCCTTCAGAGAAAAAGCTTTTCATATTTCTTTTTATTGATGAGTTATTTTTAAGGATCTGCATTTACCCCTTGTTGCATAGAAATTCTCCTCAGTGATTCAGGTTTGCACTGAGGTATGTGTGCATATAGGATTTTAAAATAACTGTAGTGTTTAAAATAGGAAGTGTGAAAAGTCCTAATCTTATTTGAAAGTCAGGGTTCTACTCACTAATGTTTAGCATGGGTTTTTTTTTTTTCCAGTGCATGAAAAATCTGCACAAAGACAGTATTTATCATTGTGAGTCAGATAATGTTGATTACTTGAACACAGTGCTTAATAAACTCATTAAATGGTCCTTGAGAGGGTTCTAGGGAAAATAGATCTGAAGTGTAAGTTCAGATTCTGTTAGGTTTGCTATAAGGAACAATACTGCTTGCCAAGGGGTAACAGGATTTTAGGGAGCTCATCTAGCCCACCCTTGTGTCCCAGGGCAGCAACAGCTGTCTCTGCATCTTTCCAAAACCTGCTGCATCTCTCTGTACCAGTTTTGGCCAGGACCACTTGTGGAGTATTTCAGTAATCAACACAATCTTAGTAACTCTCAGCTTTTTGTTTACATTTAGTTCCTCACTTACACCTTGCTGCAAATTCTTTTTTCCAATAAACATGATTGTAAGTACTAACATACTTTAGGCTCACAATTAGTGCCTATTTAGTGGCTGTGGATCCCTATCGATTTTAATATTCCAAAAGCAGAAGTCAGTTGTATAATTCACTGTATAAATTGACGACAATAAAATAGGGAGCTTGGTAGCTTTCTGTAGATAATCTGGAAATAAAAAATTTATTGTCATAAATGCATCCAATAGGAAGCTGTCTGTTTACTCTCTCTCTCTTTTTTCCCCCTCTAAATTAAAATACCTTGTAAACTCTACTGTTTTCTGTTAGGTTTGAAGATATTTGTCCATGTGAATTTTGCGCTAACTTTTCAATTATTGTATGAAAGTAAGGAAACTCATTCTTTTTATAGTCATCTGGAAAATTTCCAACTCAAAAAGTTTTTGTAGTATATTTATCTTTACATGATAGGAATTCAGTATTTTGAATAAGTTAGACCATTTCTGGCACACAAGTATAGAAACTCATGAGAGTGAAGGAAATGGCTGGGGTTAACCACACACCCAGTTTCTACACAAAGCTGGTTAAAAGAGGGGTAGGGAAATAGTGTGTTTGCACTCTGCAATCTAAAGACTACATTTTTAAAGGAATGATATCTGAATAGAGGTGTTTACTTAGCTGAGTTCTGTTTTGTGGAGCAGATGGTGGTCTCATTTGTTTAGCGAGGGGTTAAACAGAAACTAATCCTTTAGGCTTACTTTGAAAGGTGGTTATCTCTCCAGCAAGAGAGAGAATTGTTTGCTTTGCCAGAAACTGTGTAATTCTTCCCTAAATCATCCTCTTCTCTAAAAGAATAAACTTCTTAGAGGAAGAATATCATTGGCAAAAGCAATGTATTTAGAAGATTCCAAAAATTAATGAATGTGCTCTCATATATATCTAACAAACATAGGCATTTTGCTTGATGTAGGCTGTATTAAAAGTTTTTGTGAAGAAAGTAATTTTTTGTTACAAGTGCTCTAATAGCAGTATCATTGGTCATGGGAAATGGAACAGAAGTGTGGTTGGCTCAAGTTAATTACATTTATTCAAATGAAATACTATTCTACTGTATTCTTCAGGACAAGCAGAGAAAATATCAAAACCTTTTCCAGCCAGTATTTATCTGTTTCAATTATTTTTGACAGTTTGTGTTGCATGTGTGCTTTAGCTACAGTGCCTTTATATCGACAGTTGGTAGCACAAGCCTTTTAAAGCACAAAGGGTAGCAGTACTTCAGCCAATCTGTGATAAAAGAGAAAAAATGAAATCACTATGGAAACTGCAGGAAGAATCTAAAAGCTTTCTTTATAAAGTAAACGTCTGATGTTTGTGGCTGCGGGGGCAAAAAATTCATAAATCTGTACGATGCTATCATCTCTGATTTGTTATCGCAGCAAATGCCAAGTCTAAGCAGTCTGACCTTAGCCTTATTAAGTGCTTTCTTTTCAGATACAGTTATTATTTGACAATAGAGAGACTGCAGTGCTGCAAGGGGGAAAACTAATATATTTAAAATATGTGTGTGTGTCTACGTGCGTCTGTGTGTGTGTATATATAACTATCCATCTTCTTTACCCTGCAAAGCTTACAGAGTTGAGAGCACCGAGTGTGGGAACTCAGGGACTACTATTCTGAGCACAATTGAGAAAACTATGTTTCGTCCCATTGCATGTGCTCGTCTTTGATCTCAAATTGAAAATCTCTCAGCCTCTTCCTCCAATCCAAAAGCAAATAAATACTGAGAGAAAGAAACCTCTCTCCTCTCAGCACATAGGGCCTCCACAACTGAAAAATGAAGGTGGCTGTAAGAGCTCTGAGGAACCTGTTTGGACAACAGACAGCAAAAAAAAAACTACCTGTCTTGGTGGAGGGGTTTAAGAACACTGCAGAGATCATCAGACAGTACAGAATCTCTTGGCTCACACGGGCCGTTCTCTTTATCTCAAAACAATACCAGCCAAGCTCCTCCATTCCTACAACTGAAGAGCTGTGGGAGCAGAAGGACAGTAACTAATACAGCTTTTCAATATGAATCTGCTTGTTTTATTAAGAAAAAAAAAAAAAAGAAAAAGAAAGAGAAATACATTAATTCACAGCAAGGCAAGATCTCTGGTAAGTGTTTTTATTGTATTTGGCTGCTTGAGATGGAAGATTGTTTTTAGTCATAGGTATTTGCTATAAACAAGATTTGAATGAGTATGGGGCTTTTGTGAAGTTTTTTAGTTATAAAATTATTTCATGCCTATTTTTACATCTCCAACTTTGATAGGTTTTTAATTTCTTTGTTTTGCTGTTGTGCTGTTATTAGTGTGCAAGTATTCCAAGTCTGATGTTTCAAGATGCTCAAAAGAACACTGTTGTTCCCAGGCTCTTGGAATAGAAACATGTCCATGAGTAATAGATATTATTGTATATTATATATACATACACAAAACCAGGCTTTAATATTTGTTTTAGTATGGCAGTTTTCAAATATACTGATAATGACCCAAGCTAGGCAGGTATTTTCTGACTGTTTTAAGCTCTCAAAACAGTGTGAATGTTTTAACTCTTATTCAATAAGTTTATATATGAAGATTTAATCTACGACAGCTGACAGCATAAATTTATTTGGCTATAAATGTGAGAGGCCAGAAGAATTCTTGATTATCTCAGTATTTCGTAGTACATTTGTACATGCTACTATAGAGTGTGCTTGTGTTATTAACAGAAAGATTCCAGGTTAACAGTAGAAAAATAGAGACAATACAAGTCTGTCAGGAGCAGGTCAGTCTTTCAGTAATAAATATAACTCTAAGAAAATATATAGTTTGACTTATTGACTTCATTGCAGCTTTTTACACATACAATGAAAACCAATTATCTGTAGAGGAAATTTGACTTTGTGGAATGGAATTAAATTGCTTTTTAAAGGCTTGCTTAAACAGCACTAGCTGGAGGGAAGTCCAATAACATTTTTAGCTCTGAATTGTAATGGCTTTGCTACATTAATAAATCAGGTTGTGTTCTGGCTTTTATCAAAAGATTCCAAGGAAGAAAACTATCCACGGCAGGTTGAAGCCACAGGGGCAGAACTGAATTGCCTTTCTCCATCCTACTACTTTACTTCACAAAGTGTTTCTTCGAAAAACAGCAGCTCCCAGGGATCAGTGCTTAAAACGGTAGGTCCCAACCCATCCAAGGTGATGAAAATGAGTGATAAATATTAATTCCTGCTAACAAGTGAATTGGCAAACTGGAGTATCTGTAATGGACTCTGCCTACTTCAATCACAGTTCTTAAGGAAGCAAGGAGGAAATTCCTTGTTAAACACATTTGGTGTTGATATTGTTTAGGAGATTTGGGGTATGTTTTGTGGTTTTTTTATTTGTTTGGGTATTTTATAAAGAAAATATCCTATTTATTCTATTTATCACTTGTCTTGATACGGAACTGAGTACAAGGTCGACTTAAAAAGTAAACTTTTTCAAAAGGGATGGTTTAATTCAATCTAAATGTGTGAATATGCCCTGTTGCTATAATTCATGTATTACTGGTTAGCTAGGCAAATGTTTGGGCTCAGTGTTGAATGGAGGGAGGTTTTACAAAGTATGCATTTGGGGCTCAGAATCTGAAACTACAAAAAAAAAAAAAAAGGATTTATCTGAGCAGTGCTTTGGTCTGCTGATGTTAGCTCTAAAGTAATCGGAGGAGAAAAAAAAAGATATTGTCACCTTCTACTCATTTTCTCCAACAGGTCACGTATCAAAAATGTAATCTGTAGGACTAATGTGAACTGGAGAAATCTACCTCTGATGTTGGCTTCCTATGCCTTTATGTAGAATGTTTGTAATTATCTTGCTGAGTTGTAATCCCTGACAAAGAATCTGGAGGAGAATGCAATAGTCTAATTATGTTTCTGTGAAAGAGCTGAGGGGAAAAAAAGTTGTGCTCTTTAGAAAAGCATTTTAAAGAAAACCAATTTTTTATTAATATGCATACCAAAGTTTGGGAAAGTTAAGATTTCTTTATGTACTGTAATCCCAGGTTGTTTTATATTGCTGTATATAAACATAGTTGAATGTATATTAATTGTAAGTTATTTCTTAAACTACATGCTTTACTTGCCTACATCTAAAGCAAAATAGGTACTGGCAACAGTCAAAATATTTTTATATATTTATATTTACTTTCTTACATTTTTCAGTATTTTCTTAGATAAATGAAGTCAAGTTGCCACATAATAAATAAACATATTTTGTTAAAACTAAAAAGTCAGTGCTTTCTTATATGATGTTTTACAGTAGCTTTTGTATTAAGGAAATAAAGATCAAGAATAGCAATAAGTTAAATTTAAATTGCACTTCATGAAGATTTCCTCCTGTTACGTTCTTTTATATAGGGAACTAGGCACAAACAATGTGAAGTTGTAAAACTGACTTTTGATCATGGAAGGAACTCACTTTTTATAGATAGGTTTGTCCACAAAGAGAGGCAAAAGGTTAATTGAGGTTGCATATTTGAATACATGCATTTTACCTCTGTAAGAGAGTTACTGAAACACTGTTTTTTCATATCTGGTATGAAAAATTTCTAAATCCAAAAGGATTTACTACAGAATCATTAAAATTGAATCTCTAAAGGAAAATGGATATGTGATACTGCTGTGTGCCTTGGTTTTCCAAAGTGGGGCTGTGTGGGTTAGCTGAAACAAATTACTCCAGCAGTCTGTTCTCAAGCAAATTTCTCAGATGCAGAATTGTTATGCAAGACATACCATGCTCTTCATGCTCTCTTTTTGGGAATAAAATTCCAACTGTTCATATATCTGATGGTATGTGAGATTAGTTAGCCAATGTTGGGCCTATAATGCCTGCTTTTAGTAGACAACTTACACAACTAAAAACAAAAAAGGAAAAAAGTCTTGCTTTTCCTCCCCCTTAAGTGTCCCATTTCCCCCTTCCACTTAGTGCTTGTTTGGTTTTTGCTGTTTAGAATTTAACAAAAAAGAGAGAGAATGAGAAGAAAAAAAATTAGTGCCAATCACTGTGAACAAGCATAATCTTTTACATAAATTCCATAAATTGTACTTTATAGCAAGAAATTTGTTTCTGGTAACTTGGGGTAGACTTGAGTGGGAGGAGTGGCTGTTGCCCCTCTCAAAGGTGACTTCCAGAGACTGTGAAAGTCTTTGGGCAGAATATTTCTCTCCAAAGTTGAAGAAAGTTGTTTTTCTCATGAATGCAGTCTGGGGATTGTTCCAGTAAAAGTAGAGAGGGTTTCTGAGGAGGAGAAGGAGGAAGTCACACCTTCATAGCAAGCAACTGTCTTCCCACAAAGTGCCCAGCTCCAACATGAGCTCCCTCCAGAAAGTTTTCATTCTCCTCCTCCCATAAAGGGATATTTACCAGTGCTTTTCAATGGCCCGTGTGCTCATGGAGATACCAAGCCAGCAGCAGATGAGCACATACCAGGACAACACTGGAAGACCTGTGGGATCCTAGACTCAGGGTGAAACACCCCAGGGTTATTACACTTAACAAGGCCTTGCTAGAGGTTGGAATCAAACATGACCATGCTCAGGAGCTTGTCACATGGTCCTTAGCAGGGCTTCAAGACAAGCTTTCCATGGCATGGTAGTGGTGGTCTCTGTTTGGCAGCAGAGTGCATGTACTGGGCAGGGTAGGTGTTTCCAGACAGGACATGTACTCCACAGGCTTCTGTTGTTGCCACTCCATGGCCACATTCTCACCAGTTTTTCCATGCTGTGCAACAGCACCAGAAGGCATATATTTCTCTAGAAATTTTAAATTCCATTTAGGGGCAGGAGTTTGTTACTCGTTTGCTCAAATAGAAGGGAAACTATTGCACAATGCTAAGAATTCATAATAAATTAATCTTTTTTGTCTAAGAACTCTAATAAATAGCAAACACATTTATAACTGAAAACTATTTTCCTACATAGCACCAGACATTGACGTAAACTGATTATAAAAAGCACAGTCTAAAGAATACGTCTATCGTTAAGGACTGATATTCCAATTGATATGAACGAGATACTCTGGAATTAAACAGCAACAAGGTTTTTCTATGCAAAGTCCTGGTTCTTTAAAATGCATAGAGTAGGCTAGAGGTATTTTGCCACACAGGGTGTGTTACACTGAATAACACTGATTTGTTTCCTGTTTGTCTGTTTGTTTCCTCACTGCACTGGAAGAATTTTGAATGGCTCTGAATGCCTGGCATTTTGGTAGGAATGTAATTAAATTCTCAAAAATGGAGAAAAGGTTGCTTTGAAACACTCCAAAGTGACCGTTGGCAACTTTCAAATTAAATCACATGCAGTTTTTTAGTATGTCATTTGGAAGTTGCTGATGAAATGGCTGTTTATTTGTAATGGATAGGAATGCTTCTCTGGGTTGATAGGGTCTGTCAGGGTAAAATACTGCTTTTGACATCATGTCTCTAATTTGCACTTGTGTTAGCAGTCTCGAATTTAATTTTTTTTTTTAACTGTGCATTTTATAAGTCTGATTTTATTGGCACATGAAAATGTTGCTAGTAATTTTCAACCTTTATGCCTTAAACTTGTTTTAAAGCAATCCAAGCAAACCAACCTAAGGCGAGTATACCCATGCATAAATACATCCTACTACACTATGCCTGAAATGAAATTAAGACTGACTTACACATAAGAAGGGAAAATGTTTTAGAGCTAAAGTCTGCACCTAGCTTGAACTTATACAATAGTTATACAGAATGAAGTACACAGCTCTTCAAACAAAAATGCATTTTTTCCTCAAGGTCAAGCACAGAGTGTGTCAGGATATTTTCTCCAACATCTTCATGGACCGTGTCTTTGCAAATAAATGATTAAGCTCCATGTCATATAAAATTAAAAAAAAAGCAGAACTTTCTGTGCAAATAAAATCTCCTTATAGAAATATATAACTGCTATGAGGCAGTGAAATTAGCATCTCTGCTTTTTTAGGCCAGCTAATTACTATCTATTTGCTCTAGCACAATTTGCTGTTGGAGATGTTAACTTCATTTCAGTAGATGCTTAAAACGTATGTCTGTTGGAAAAACTGCTGAAGCTTTTGCACTAAATTTCTCTGTTTCTTAATACCTAGATTATTTGAGCAAGGATGTGTGTTATGTATCCCAAATGTTTTATTTGCCCATGAATTATGAAAATTCAGAGGAAAGAAGAGCAGGACTTATTTCCCTTACAGGATTGGAATCCTGTTTTACTCCTGAAGTGTGCTATTGCTGTGTTGTCCAGCACCAGTCTAGATGAGATTTCAAAATGAAAGTCAATACTCCTAAATTTGTGTAGGGTTACTGCCCATATACATGAAACATTTTTCTTAACAAAGCCAGAACAATTTACTGATTTTCTTTTTTTACCTTCCCTGTCCCTCCCTCTCCAGGGTGAAAGGAGATCTTTGTAAAAAGTGAACGGCTAGTAAATAAAGAGTTAAACCGAAGGCAGGCTCACTGGTTTGTTGAGATCTGTCAGAGTCTGAGTGGCTGGCTACATATCTGTCTCAGGAACAATAGCTACCTGTATTCTGCACGGGCTGCTGGGCAGGCACTAGCAGTCTGGAGAAGGTCTGCCTCTGTTAGAGGCTTTTTAGTGGGAATCCCTAATGACAGCCCTGCTGCTCATTGGGAGGGGGGAGAGAAATCTTGTCTACTCTGTGGATGAGGGACAGAGCTTTGATCATTTTCATTCAGCCTTGACTTGGCCTGAGGTTTAGGTTCCCAGTCCTGAAGTCAGCAGGCTCTCTGTTCTCACCCGCACACACACCCGCACACCCACACACACCCCTTTGCTGGGCTGTGAGGCAGATTAGTGTCACGGCTGTAACTGAGGCACACAGCAATAAACATAGCAGAACCAATCTCCATGGTGGCAAGAGGGGGCACTGGAGGTGACAACAATGGAGAAGGATCTTTCTTCTGACAAGTTTTAGGTAAGAGAGACTATTTATACCCTCTGCCAAGTATTTTATAGCCTTCTAAATAAGTTAGAAATTGGTAGATTACAAACACGCCTTGTTATAGAAATATCTTAGTTTACTGCCGTATCCAGGCTGTTACTAGCGTTTAATCTGTAACTGACGTGCTTTGTGCTATGAGAATGTTTGCAGAGAGCTGACAGGCTTTCTTTTTGTGGAAGTGGTGGCTACTATAGTTATGTTCTTGACAATATAAGCTCTCTAATATTTGCATTTTTAATATTTATTTTGGCTGTGTTCAAAATATGCTTAGCTATCATAAATATCCATATCTGATAAAATGTTATGTAGCTGATAGAACACATGCAATAATAAAACAGTGCTCCCTCAACCCTAATTTGTAATTATTTTTACACCCTTAACTGCACTAGGGTCAGAGAGTTTTAAAAATTAATGAGGTTCCCTGCTGAGTTCACATAGTATAATCTACATGAGTTGTTGCTGCAGAGGGCTGAAATTATTCCTGCATGTTTTTAATTAGGTGCAGAATTTTTGTTTAGATATATTTCTGTCAAACACTCCTTTAAACATCAATTTATGCAACCTGCAGTAGAAAGAGAATGACAATCTATTTGTAATAATGACAAACTGAGCATGGGAAATACAGGGCATACAGTGGCAATACAACACAAACGTTTGCTGGATGCGTTTTTTGATTTCATGTGTTAGATCTGTGTTAGATTCCTGCAGTTGTGATCAGCTTCACCTATTTTCAAATAACTACTGCTCTAGGGAGAGGAAAACGAGCAATACTTAGTGCTTTGTGTGAGACTGGAATAATAGGTTACTGATGTGTTTGGAACATTAAAAAGAATTGGTCAAGTATTTGAAAAGATATATAAAAGAGAAGAGGAGCAGTGCAAAAAGAGGCAATAAAAATAAAATTATGTACTATCCGTTTTCCTGGAAACACAAGAGAGATAGTATCATCAGTGCTCCTGGAAAGTAGAATTTGCTGAATATCCTCAAATGGAAGGACTCAAAGGAAAGGGGGAGGGAGCTGTTTACTAGGAAATTTCCATATTGAAATTGTCAAAGTTTCATACTGCAAGATATAAAGTGTTGGTTATTATTTATTATACTCTACTGAGCATTATATTTAAATGGCAAGCATTTTAAAGCTGAGTATAGCGTAATCAGTGCTAAAGACATGTCTTCCATTTGCAAGACCCACTCTGAGCTTCCTGTGATATATTGTTATGTAAATATGGTGCAGCAAGGGAAAGCAGCACTATGGAGATTCAATTTACTTTGAAAGTTGTTCATTATGGAAGGGATGAATGTTATTTATTGGATGTGAATCAAAGGCTAGAAATGACTTTTTCACTGTGAAGTCTATTGTGATGGGTGCAGCGTGATCTAATCTTTTTAATTTTGGCTTTCACACCAGTGGAGATGAAAAGAGATCTGAGCTCATTTATTGGTTGCTAAGTCTTACTGAAGGCCTAAGTACCATTCTTGGTTGCTATGGCCAATCTGACCTCAATCTATGCAGTTTTAGGGACTTAAGCAATCCCTTTTTTATTTAGGAGCATGTACCTTGATTTATGTCCAAAATTGTGCCTGAATGTCTTTGTCTACAAGTGATAAATGGTGGTGTACAATTCATCAGTTCTTACAAGTAAACACTGCTGTCCCACTAAAAATATGTTTTGTTCTGAGTTAATGGTATGGAACAAGCCAGTCTCCACAAATAGCTATCTTTTATTGTAGAGAGCCACTGAAAGTTGGAGCAAAGTGAAGGAAATTGGCATTCATCTTCTCTGCCATTAGCATTTCATTTGTGCTCTCTGGTGATGAGACTGTGTGTCCATGGACAATGAAAGGCTAGCATTGTGTTTTCCTGCCTGAATATATAATTGAACAATTATGAATTTATTTATTCTGAACAGATATTAAAAAGTCACGAATATGATGTCTTATGCTGTTTGCCTGCCACTTTCTTATTACTGACTGAAAAAGTAATTGCATTCAAATAAACTGTGTCCTAGCTGCAGGAAATTCCCAGTTTCCTAGGCAAGTGCCTTGTTTTCGAGTAATAGCAGATGTATGAAACTTCCAGACATGTACTGCTTG